TTCTCTAATTCCAAATATTCTGTGAGGTGTTATTGGCCAATTTATAAATATTGTATCTCAGCCAGTTGATTATCCCTTTCTAACCTATTCTGAAATAAGGTAATGTGTATGTGTTTGTAACTTTTGCATATTTTAATTGTTGTAAAACACTTGGAGTCTTCCTTAGAGAAAGGTGTAAAAAACTAGTTGTAATAATAGTACTTTTACAAACCTACCATTCCCCTAAAATTTCCAACATTTCCATCTTCGGTGGGTGGCAACATTTTGGCTACATGACCAATGGCATTTGTTTGGCATCAGCCAAATTTCCTACTATCACCAATACCACTCGATAATATGAACAGTCTGATCTTATTCTGGAAGCTAAACAGGGTTGGGCTTGGTTCATACTTTGGAGAGAGACCATCAGAGAGTAAAGGGATCTCCATGTAGGCAAAGGAAAGAATCATGTCTGAAACCCAGACAACCATTGTTAGTGTAAGGTGATGATACTGGGCTATAGGAATGGGATGTTCAGGTAACTACAAACCCCATAATTTTCCTTTCTGGAAGTTCTACATGAGATACAGATACTTTACAGAGCCCTAAATGTGGCTCACCTGGGAGAAAAGCCTAAACTGCAAGGCTTTGAGGCCTACCTAGGCCTAGTTCTACCAAAGCTTCCTGTTCCTGCCCCAGTGCTAGCTGGGAGGTTTCTAAACAGGAAGCTAGGCCCAGCTAGGCATCCAGTTTAGGCCTTTCTCCCTGGTGAACCTGTTTAGGTTCTGTAAAGTGTCTGTCTGTTAGGCAGAACTCTCAGAATGGAGAATTATGGGATTTGTAGTCTCAAAAATAAAATAAAAAATCCCATCCCTCCTGAGCTAGATGGACTAATGGCTTGACACAGTATAAGGCAGCTTCCTCTGTTCCTATGATAAGTTGTGCTTTTGTACCTGTACCACTCTGCAAGAAAAAGTTTCTTAGAATGCCCTAAAGCTTACAATATTTCCCAGCCGTGAAGCGAAAGCACCTAAAAGGAAGAAAATAAATAGCTGACACTGAACCAAATATAAAGCACAGGGACAAGCTCGACATTATGTAGGCGATCTGTGACTAGATTACTCCATGTCATTTTCTTCTCTGAAAAGTAGCTATAAGGAAGCGGCTATTTTGATCAGAGTGATGACAGGGTTGGGTGAGAATCCTAACCAGTGCGGGTGTCCCTCTCCGCTTCCTTCTCTGTAGCCAATATAGGTTCCAGGAACAACAGGATGTTGGGCCACAGCATGGCAGATGCTGGACACCCACACCCACATACACACCTGCTGTGCAATGGCCCTAATCCAGATTCTCCCCAGCCCATGATTGCTTTTACAAGAGCTGTTCCATCATAAATTCTATGGTATGCAAGTACAACACAGGTTCCTGCTACTAGAGGATAATCATGAGATGAGAAGCACCAGCTAAGCCTTTTAAAAGACGATCAAGAGGGGAGCCCAAACCCATGAGAAGCAATTACTCTGGATTTAACTTCTTGAATGCAAAACCTTTAAAGTCAGCACCTTGCCTTTTCCTACAGTACACAGAAATTAGGGCTGAACTAGAGGGATAAACTAGAGGGACGTGGTGGCAGAAGCCTCTGTGCTGCAAGGTCGGAAAACCAGCAGTCGTAAGATCGAAAGCATGTAAACATGCGAGTAGATAAATAGGTACCACTACGGTGGGAAGGTCATAGCGTTCCGTGTCTAGTTGCGCTGGCCACATGACCACAGAAACTGTCTATGGACAAACGCTGGCTCTACGGCTTGGAAACGGGGATGAGCACTGCCCCCTAGAGTTGGACACAACTGGACAAATTGTCAAGGGGAACCTTTACCTTTACCTAGAGGGATAAACATTTTTCATACTCACTTTCTTCAATTTGAAGACATGCAAAGTGGGGCATTCTGGCTATATCTTTCTGTTGTTATTTAGTCATTTAGTCGTGTCTGACTCTTCGTGACCCCATGGACCAGAGCACGCCAGGCCGTCCTGACTTCCACTGCCTCCCAGAGCTGGGCCAAATTCATGTTGGTCGCTTCAATAACACTGTCCAACCATCTCATCATATCTTTCTGATCACCGCCCAAAAACTCATGCTTTGGTGCCATTTTCTTTACTTCTGCCAATGCAGAAATAGGTTATGGGCATGGGAAAATTTTAGGTGATGCACACACAGCTCATGTTCTGGTCCATTAGTTGCCCAGACATCAATGGCAAGCAACACTAATTCAGAGTGAGGGCATTACCCTTAGTAACATCATCAAATAGGTTATTGCCACAGCAAAGCCCTCACTCTGAACTGTCTTTCCTTGTTGCCAGTGTAACTGTTCTATAGCCAAATCTGATTGATTCTGGGATGTAGACCCTCTTCCCTAGAAAGATCTAGGGGGCTGACTAATTACAAGATGCTGTAGCAGCAATGCTTTTGTGCTTACAAAATGTTCTGTTGGAAACAATCAGCATGGCCCTACTAAATTGTGCAGAAATATGAAAATGTGCTTGCTTTGCATAACTTTGTTAGAGGTCAGGTTTTTCTCAGTGAAGAATATGAAGGTGTTTTGGGGTTTTTTTTACGTTTCTATTTTTAAAGCATGGAATAACACCGCCTTTGGTTTGCCCCTAGAAAGGAGGAAAGTTGTCTTTTTTGCACTATAATTCTCAGAATTCCCTAGCCATTATAACCACTCCCCCTTCGAAATCTGCTCTAATCCACCAGCAATGCACACTGCAAAAATACAGCTGAATCACAACAAAGCATAATGCACAACACCATCATTTTTGAGCTCAGTGTGTTACCATACTGGCTTCTTGTCATCTGTTCACCAAAGCCACTCTGAAGAGGAGATTAGACTAGACCAGATGACTTTAAAGATCATATTCTGAGATCCTCAAAGCAGATGGCAATCAGAAAGGCCTTTTCGGTGGTGGCACCTGAGGTTCAGAATAACTTTTCAGAGAAGCTAGCCTGATGCTCACTCTGGTGTCCTTTTTAAAATTATTTTTAACTTTATGAAAATAACCAGCATTAAAACATCTAATAAACCAACTTGAATCAAAAGACAAACTACATCCATTGTGCACCCGACTGCCAAGACTGTTAGGGATTAACCATTTGAACCATTGGCGCTTTCAGGGGCCCCGCCCCTTCCAAAATGGTATAGACTGGTGTATTTCCAAAGCTAAGCAAAATCTTTTTCATTTCCCCAGCCTTCTAGATATTTGTTTGATCTTTGTTCATTTGAGAGAGTGATTTTACAGAGTTGCGGTTTTCAGTTTATTTTAATGCACTGGTCTTTTTTTGAAAGCAAGAGCAAGGAATCTTTGATCCTCTAGATATTCTGGGCCTAGAAACACTCAGAATCATAAAATAATGGAATTGGAAGGGGCCTATAAGGCCATCAAGCCGAACACCCTCCTCAATGCAGGAATCCTAATCAAAGCAGATCCGACAGAGGGACGGCCTATAAGGCCATCAAGTCGAACCCCCTCCTCAATGCAGGAATCCTAATCAATTTTCTCTTGAATGCCTTCATTGGGAGTGCTCACCACCTCCTAAGGTCATTGGCTCTATTGTCATACTGTTCTAACAGTAAATAAGTTTGTTCCTGCTATTCAGCCTGAATCTGGTTCCGTATAGCTTGAGCTCATTGTTGTGTGCCCTGTACTCTGCGACGCTCAAAAACCGATCCTGTCCCTCCTCTGTATGGCTGCCTTTCAAGCATTTGAAAAATGCTGTTCTATCTCCCCTCAGTCTTCTTTTCTCAAAGCTAAACATGTCCAGCTCTTTCAGCCTTTCCTCACAGGGCTTGATTTCCAGTCCCCTGATCATCCTTGCAGCCTCCCTCTGAACTTGCCCCAGTTTGTTGACATCCTTCTTAAAGTGCAGTGTCCAGAACTGGACACAGTACTCGAAATGAGGTCTAACCAGTGCTGAATTCAGGGGAACTACGACCTCATGGGTTTTCAAGATTATACTTCTGTTAATGCATCCTAAAATAGCATTTGCTTTTTTTTTCCAGCCGTATCGTACTGTTGGCTCATATTCGGCTCATGGTCTACAATAATTCCAAGATCCTTCTCACTCGATTTATAGTTTTATTGAACCAAGTATCCCCCATTTTATAACTGTGCCACTGGGGTTTTCTTTTCTTTTTTCACTAGATGTAGAACTTTGCACTTTTCCTGGTTAAATTTCATTCTGTTGTTTTCAGTCCAGTGCTCAAGCCTATCAAGATATTTTGGAATTGTGTCCCTGTCTTCTAGGGTATTAGGCATTCCACCCAGTTTTAGGTCCACAAATATTCTCTGTACCCACCCACCCCCATCCAAGTCACGAAAATGAATCTTTTACCCTCCAGAGGTTTTGTGCCCACGATTCATTATTAGTGATTATATAGTAGGGGGTTAAGGAGTTGTATGCTAAACTGCCACATTGCTATTTTGTTCTGAATGTTTCGTTGTAAGCCATCTTAATGGATTTAATACTGCTTGTAGGATAGAGTTTAAATCAAAAGAAGGAAAACAGGAAGGACTGGTAGAATAATAGATCAAAAGCCAGTAGTCAGAGGCAATGTCTTCCTCGTTCCTGCCACTACTGCTTCTCATTTCTGGACTCCCCTTGGAACTGTAACTACTTGCTATATAATCAATTAACTTCCTTGCAGTCCATTCTTTGCCTCAACTGCTACTATGCGGTCACAAGATACAATAACTATCTCACAGCAATCTACTGAGGGCACTTGTATTTCACCTGAACAACCTACCCAGTGAGTTAAGAAGCAATTGAGTGTGTCTTCAATTGAGGCAAGGCAGTTTGCCATTAACCCTGTTCAAGCGACAGCAAGCAAGGTGTTCTGGGGGAAGGGGAGTTGTTTTCAGTCCAGTGTGTGTGTGTGTGTGTGTGTGAGAGAGAGAGAGAGAGAGAGATGCTCCTCCACTTCAAAAGTTCCTGTTTAATTCTTCCATCTCTCTCTTTACAGGTAACAAATAAGGATGCCACAAAGATCAGTGTAAGTGTATCTTCAAATGCATGCTACTTCTCTGTGGGCTGAGGAGGGGCAACAGGTCTGGGGCAGAGAATACCCGTTGCATTTCAAAAGCATGATCCTACCAAAAAAAGAACGCAGGTGGCAGATTTGGGAGATTCCTCTCCTTCTTCAAACCTGGAAGGGCAGCTGCTGCCTCTAAGACATTCCCACAGTGAGCTAGATGGTGATCTGCCTTGGTATACAGGCAGCTCCTCAAATGTCGCTTAATCTCATCCCGATCTGCATCCTTTTAATCCATTAGAGCAGCGGTTCCCAGCCTTGGGTCCCCAGATGTTCTTGGACTATGAATCCGAAACATCTTGGCCAGTATAGCTAGTGGTGAACCCCACTGTCTGGATAGCACTCTGGCGATTTCATTGCACATGCAATGACAATAAAGTGTTATTCTAGAGGAAGGCTCTGGAATCTTTTTATACCTTTGGGGTAAAATGTGTTGGGAACTCCAGGCCAGTGCAGAGAGCTGACATCAGGAATGGGCAGGGAGATGGCAAGGGTGAAATCCCCCCATCACTTCCCCCTCTCTGTTACACCCTCTTCTCCCTATGATGCCCCTCCCCTTTCAGACACCATTTTCTCCTTTTCTCCATCCTTTTCTTTCTCTAATCCTTCCTCTCCCTCTAGCATCTCTTTGTCTCTCATTCTCTTTCTGCCTCCCCTTCTTCTTCTTCTTCTTCTTCTTCTTCTTCTTCTTCTTCTTCTTCTTCTTCTTCTTCTTCTTCTTCTTCTCTCTCCCTTCCCTCCCTCATTCTCATTTTGCCATCTTCTTTTATCCCATCTTTTCTTCTCAACTCATCAGACTTACCGGAGAAGTTCAGAACATCCTTGCCAAAGGTTCAAATGGATTGCATGAAGAAGATCTTTAAAATTAGACCAAGGGCAACCCTAGGACCTTGCAAGGCCCATCCCAGTCCCAGAAACACCTTAAGAACCAGCTTATATACAGACAGACATTCAGAAGAAGGAAGTAATAAAGATTTTGCTAGAGAGGACTATTCCAATTTCCTAAATGGGGAGCCAGTGATCCAAATGAAAAAGGCTCTTTTTGTCCTTAAGGGAAAGTGGATTCTTTTGCAGGGGGGAGTCTCATGGCACATCGAAGGTCAAAAGATCCATGTAGCTTGTTTCTTTCCTGGCATGCTGTTTCTCGAGATTTTTTTCGATGTGCAATGCCTCACTAACAGCCAGAAGTGACATGGTTTAAGAGAAACTTTACTGTTTTTTTAATCAATACATAAACTGACCATAACTGACCATATCTCTGTAACATCACAAATTTATTGGACATCACGGTTATAGACGCATAGGTTTATCCTAGAGATAAATGTTTGCAAGATTCTCCCCATCGAAACCCATGGCTATGGATCTGCATGGGGAATGTCCCAAGATTAGTTCCAGCCCCAGCAAAATGAAATGATGCACTCTCTTTCCTTCTCCTGTGTGCTTGTGTGCATTATTGACTTTTGGTTGATTGCATCATAGACTTCAGGGGAATAAAGCTATCCCACTTCTGTCCCACTCATTTTTATTCTATTGCAATAGAATGCTTGCTATTGATTTGAAGCACCCTCCTGTTATTGGTTTCTTCTTGAAATATTTCCTGGTGCAAGAGTTTCACCAGGAATTGTTCCAAGATGTAGGAGGGCACAGCTGAATAACAGCATCTTAGTGCAGTGTCTCAGTGCAATTCTTAAAGGTGCACCATATTGTAAGCCATTATAACACAGTGTGTTTGTCTGTATACATAAAATAATGCAGCAATTTAGGATTTTGGGCAAAGATTCCCCCACTTCTCCTTCCATAGCCACCAGTGTCCTGGAGTGTTCTTGTGAAATGTGCAAGTTCTCTTTGATAAAGATTTCTAAAAACCAAAACCTTGATGAACCTGTGATTTACTTTAAAATGGTGTTACGTTGAAAAGAAAAAAGAAAAGAAAAAATCATAGAAGCATAGAATAATGTTGGAAGGGGCCTAATAAGACCATTGAGTCCAACCCTGTGTTCAATGCAGGAATGAAAATCAAAGTCGGTCTGGCAAATGGTTGTTCAATTTTCTCTTGAATGCCTCCAGCGTTGGAGTGCTAACCAACTCCCGAGGTAATTGGTTCCATTGTTGTACTGCTCTAACAGTTAGGAAGTATTTCATGATATTCAACCGAAATCTGGTTCCCTGTAACTTAAGCCCATTGTTGCATGTCCTACATTCTGGGATGATCGAGAACAGATCCTGCCCCTCTTCTGTATGACAATCATTCAAGTATTTGAAAAGTGCTATCATTTGTCCCCTCGGTCTTATTTTCTGAAGGCTAAACATGCCCAGTTCTTTCCTCATAGGGCTTGGTTTCTAGTCCTTTAATCATCCTTGCCACCCTCTTCTGAGCTTGTTCTAGTTTGCTGCCATCCTTCTTGAATCACAGGCCTCCAAAGGTGTTTGGCAAGGTTAGAACTATCTGCCCCGATTTCTGGTGATCAAAAGAGAAATAAGAAGGGCAATAGAAAACCACACATTCTGCGTGCAAGAATGTGAGTATATTTCAGATCAAAGGAAAGACCTGTGAATGGTGAGGACTCCTTGCGGATTGCATTTTGGAGGCAGATGTTGTGGGCTCCTTGTCAGAAAGAAGAACGAAAGGGGGAGGAATATATTGCTCTATTTTTGGAAGCGAATCAGGACTGCTCCTGGCAATGAGATCACATTGAACTTTGAGGGACCTGATACATCTTCTCCCCCCCCCCATGCTCCAAGAATGTGCAATGCTGACTTTGATTGCTGTGTGCTTTGTGGAAGATTAAATGCAGATGCTGTTGTTGTTGTTGTTTTCATTTGGTAAAAAGAATGGCGGGCTGAATTTATGGTGATGGGGCAGCAATGAAGCATGAGTGGACGGTTGCTGTTGGGGACGTTATTTTCTGCAAGAGGATGAGGATGGGATTAGAGAAGCCCTGCACGTTGGGGTCAGTTTTGGACAGATGATACATTTTAAATGCATTATTGCTGGAAGAAGAGTAGATGGCTAGGATTAGTGACCGACTGTTGACTGCAGCGGAAAGACACTTTTAATTAAGGGAAGGCGGAAATGGAATTAGAGGGTGTGTGAGTGAGTGACCCAGGGTTTTGAAGCATTCATTGGAGGTAGGGAGGGAAATGGCCAGAAGCAATGACTAGAGGCAGTGGAATATTTGAATCTTCATTTTCGGATGAAGACAGATTAGATTTTAAAGACGGAGGGAAAGAGCAGAAGCAAAAAAGCATTTTGCAATCAGTTTAGAGAAGATCATAAGAATGATTTGATTGTTCAAAGAGTTGTTCCCGTAACTGGATGCTACATCAAAGGGATGAAGGCAGCACCTCATTGTGACAGAAAGAGGGGGAAGCCTCAATTTCTTCAAAAGGTTTTTTTTTCCCCCCTTAGGAGCCACTATTTGTGAGTCCTCATATTGGAGGACTTTATGGTCTAGCGAGGAAAACATGCTCTGCACATGCTTAGAAGCACTCTTATTCAAGGGCTGGCATCATATTGTGAGATTCTGTATGTGAAGGGGAAGTAGTAGAAGTGGTTTCCATGATTTTATAACTTTCTGTCACATGCCTTGGTGTGCAACTGAGTATATAGCTGACCTCAGTGTGACTGAACACGCAGCTGACATCTGGAATGATTGCTTGTGCGAGTTATACAATATTCAGCTTACATTGTACAAACCTCGTAGGATTCTGGCCAAGGCATTTGAGCACATGTTCCAGCTCTGACGTCAAGAACGGGTCTCAGGGCAGCTCTTTGGTTTAGCCATAGCTTCAAATTAAACTCTGGCTTAATCTACAAAGCCATCTCTGGTTTGTAATCTGATTACCACCGACTTTCCCCAAATACAACGTATCTTAATCGCTCAAAATGCTTTTGCCACCAATTCCAAAATTCCATCTCCTAGAAGATGCTGGAGGTAGGGCCTATTCTATTCAAGGCTAGCCATCTTCAAGTATCTGTGACCTTTACACATGCTTTTAGCGATGGTGACATGCTTGGAACTGAATCAAGAAACCTGAATTCTAGGGCAAATTTTTTATTACTTGTCTAGAAGTGCTGGTCTAGCTTGTGAAGAGGACTGTTCTTATTGGCTCAGTGGTGTAGGCATCTGGTTGAGGAACCAGAGATTGGGAGTTGATCCATAGAATCTCTTCCAGGTGTGCGGTTCTGCATTTATGGTGGCCTTTGGAACTATATGCTGGAAAAAAAATGGCTCTGGATTGCATGCCCATTCAAGTCCTGTTCAAGGCGTGTTTCCCCAGATGTTGCTAGACTGTAGTTCACAGAATTCCTAACTATTGGCCATACTAGCTTGCGGTTTCTGTGAGTTGAAGACCACCAACATCTGTGAACCAAAGTGAGGAAACCACTGGCCCTACCAGGAAGCAGCTTCAGTGCCCAGAAGGCAAAAGAACAAAGATCCTTTCACTTGCAGCAGCCACAGAGCACTCTGTCTATATTTTCGGTTGTATTAAATCTACATTGTGATTTGAATGACTGCACCAATTACAGACAGGAAAAGGGAAAGGGGGGGGAGGAAAGCAGTTTGGATGAAGGGCTTAACTCTATCCTTTTGCAGAATGAAAGAATGAAGATTAGCAAGGAGTATGTTTGAAACACTATGAAAGAATGCTTAATCGCATTGCCACATAAAATCTATATTGGATTTAATTACTGAGGGCAACTTGTAACTAAGCGGGAGCTGGGGAAAATGCAAATCGTGTGGGGGAAAGGATGACTTCACCACCAGGAATGCAACTCTGACCAAGGTGTATAAAGGCTGGCTGGGTTGACGCTAAGCTAGCTGAGGGTGTGCCAAATCTGAACAGCCCTCCTAGTTAAGGGATGCTGGATGTTGCTTAGTGGCTGTGATGCTGGACTGAGAGGGTGGGTCAGTCAGTCCCTCCCTCTGAGTGACCCACTGCTCCTCACCTCTTTTATGGCTCTTTGGCGATATCCATAACTGGTGCAGCAGTTGGGCTGGCAGGTCTGAGATCAACCAACACAAGATGGCTATACCAGCACAAAGGCCTTCATGCGGTCCCAAGGGCTGTTCTGGCGGCATCCGGCTCTTTTCTCCATTCCAAGGCCACTACAGCCAGCATTGTCTTTGAGCAGGAATTCCACTGCCAATAAGAAGCATAAGACAGAGAGAGAAGATGTGTGAGCATTTGAGGCTTTTGCCTTTTGTGTCTCAGCATCCGAGTAATAGCTGTTAGTTTATTTTTGTTAGTTTTGCAGTGGGAGGCTAGTTTTATTTGCTGCAGTTTGTTTTGGAGAGACAGAAGAGAGACATGCAGAGTCAACCATTGCTCTTTGGACTGGGAAGGATTTAGAATACAGGAGAAGAGAAATGGGGAATGATTTGATGAGACACATAGGAGACGTTGTGGCACAGAGGGAAAGCATCTGGTTTCCTGTTAGAAAGTCCCAGGTTCAATCTGTTGAATCTCCATTTTTTTAAAAAAAGTGGGGGCTTAGGCAGCAGCTAATAGGAAAGGCATCTCCATCTTTGACCTTGGAAAGACTATGTTGGATCAGATGTATAAACTATCTGACCTGGTCTTGCATTCCTAGCCATTGCTTACACATTCAAGTCAGACATACAACATATCTCTGAAGGGTAGGCATTTGGTGAGTACTTATGGCATGTGGTTACTTTTCAGAGTGTATTGATACAAAACCTTGAATCTTCTGGATTGTTGAGCTGAGGTCTACCCAAGTTAAACTGCCAACCCACAGCCCTATCTGGCAACGCTGTAAGAGAATTTGGGGGACCCCCCCATCAGGTTGTGCATGGTTCTGCTGGTGATCATAAAGGTAACATGTGCCTTAAGTGATAGCTTGCTTTAGCTCTTGTGTACTGAATCAAACTTGTTCTTCCTGGTCATGGTTTCAGAGTGATGGCTTTGTTTGCAAACCATTTAGCCTGCCAGATTCACACGGCATTGAAAGCAGCTTTCTATGGCCATGAGTGTGTTTATGAGTATGAAGCATGTGACTTTTAATTAGGGTTTACTTCCTCGGCACATGTTAACTGAATGATGTACAGTTCCTAGGATAGCATTGTTGACATCCACTCAAATTCAGTGTTGGGAGAGTGAGAACAGTCAAAAGCAAATATTTCTTTCCCCAGTGTGTTGTTAATCTGTGGAACTCCTTGCCATGGTGATGGCATCTGGCCTAGATACCTTTATATTTGGATTGGACATTGGTGATGGCATCTGGCCTAGATGCCTTTATATCTGGATTGGACATATTTTTGAAGGAAAAGTCCATCGCAGGTTGCAAGCCATGATAGGGATGTACAGTCTCCAGGCTTAAAAGGAAGGTACCTCAAAATGCCCAGATGCAGGGGAGGGGTTATCAGGAGACAGGTCTCTAGTTGTCTTGTGTGCTCCCAGAGGCATCTGGTAGGACCACTGGCCTGATCCAATGACCCTTCTTATGTTCTTATGATAAGCAATAAATAAATGCCAAAGTGCCATTAGAATTGTAGTATTTATTCAGGTGGGATCCCCAGGTCTGTAGCCAGCAATATTGAGGTGAAGGGGTCTACTAGTACATGGAGATCATGGCAGAATCTTTGGAATAGGCAGCTTTAGCATGTTATATAATAGAAAATACCATAATATGTTATATATATAAAACGTAGACAACCACCTGGCAGATACTCTTTGATCTACATTCCTGCATCGAACAGGGGGTTGGAGTTGATGGCCCTTCCAACTTCACTATTCTATGATTCTATAATATAATCATATACAAGAGGTCTCCCAACCTCTGTGCCCTTCAGTACTGTCAGCATTTCAGTGGGCCAACAGATGTGTTACCTCACAATGGAAGGGCACCGGTTTGTGGTAGGTTGCTATGAATATATACAATGGTACTAAGTCCCATTAAACCCAACTGTACTTATTTCTGATTCAACAAGCCATTGCTTGCAATTTCCCTACTGTGTTAGTTCTTGAAAAAAAGCTTGGAAATGTTTTTTTAGACTACAACTGTGAGAATCCCAGAGCCGGCAAGGATATGACCATATTTGCAGGAGGATTCTGGGAACTGGGGTATCCAGTTTTGTAGTCCAAAAAGCAAAATTTCCAAGCTCTGTTCTTAACAAGACACTGGGAGGGGCTAAAGACCATATACTATGGATTTGCTTTTTATATTTGTAGAGTAGATATTGGAGGGGGAACTGAGAGGGGAAACAGAGAGAGACTTTACAGCCATGTCTCCACCCACAGCATTCAGAAGTACATACTGTATAATAATTCTCATGTATATATCCTTACTGCTTTGCAATATGATGGGATCACTGTGTTTGCACATCTGTCCACTGGGGAAAGGCAGGGTTATTCAGAAACCAGGCATTTATTCCTCTGCAGAAATGGTCTACTCTTTCTGCTTATTACAGGATTTGTAAAACTCACCCCACAATGAATGCTCTCAAGTTGTCCATGTGTTGGTTGTGGTTGGTTGCTATTGGCTGGCCCCCCCAGGCACGTCTACTCGGAAGTAAACCCCTCTGAGTTCAGCGGGGTTTAGATCCAAGAAAGCATGCGTGGGATTGGAGCTTCAAGCCTGCAGAGGTGGGGGGACCAGACAGAGGGATGGCTAGACGGGGAGAATCTCAGCACTTGGAGAAGTTTCATTTTAGACTACAATTGGCTGGGGGATTCTGGGAGTTGTAGTCCAGAAGAAGGCGCTGCTTGCTTTCAGCTGGCCTCCGCTTGCTTTCCCCTTCTGAGTGGACCCCTCAGGCGGCTCTTTTCTCTCTCTCTTCCCCCCCCCTTTCCCCGTTTCCTCCAGACGGTGCGCGTCCAAGGCAACGACATCTCGCACCGGCTGCGGCTGTCGGGGGTGCGGCGGCAGGACGAGGGCGTCTACGAGTGCCGCGTGTCGGACTATACCGACGAAGACACGCAGGAGCACAAAGCCCAGGCCTGGCTCCGCGTCCTGGCCCGCTTCTCGCCCCCCGACGTGCAAGCCGCCGAAGCCGTCTCGCACATCCAGAGCAGCGGCCCGCGCCGGAGCAGCAGCCCCCCGTCGGGACGC